TGCTCTCAGAAGCCCTGCAAAAACTCCTGTAGCTGGGTGACGATCTCCGTGTCCACCGTTTCCATGAGGGACTGGAAGCCTTGCTCTCCCAGCAGCTCCTGCTGTGCCTTGAGCTTTTCGTAGATGAACTGCTGCAGTGACACGGTGTGCACCGGGTCCTTCAGGGCCAGCTGCGGGACAGAGAGGAGCCACACTGGGTCAGAGCGGCAAGACGAGTCCCTCTTAACATGTGGGTGACTCAATTCTTTGTCATCTCTTTTACAGCAACAAAACTGCTTCTGCCCCCCCCTTCCTACAACGGATTCTAAAGCAGCCTCACTGTGGAACAGAAAATGTCATTCAGTTAGTGTAACCTCAGTTCCCTGGGGCCTCTGAGCACAACCTGTCTGATAAGGCCCATTTCTCAACAGTCAATCTATGTAAAGAATCAAAACCCAGTAGAAAGGAACAGAATATGCCAAAGAGCGTTTAAACACAACTGTCCAGAGTTCCTGTGAGGAACTCTGCTGTGGCAGCTCAGTGAGGCCCTCAGGACTGACGGAGGAAACACTGGCCTATCCTGGATGGCTACGCTATTTATATGCTTCTGGTTAGAAAGAAAAGAATAATAATAAATAAAAATAGATTTTAACAACCCAAACACGTGATCCTCCTCTCTGAATGGGCTAAACAAAAGAAATACAACTAAATTAAAAATAACCCATCCATCCACTTCTTAAAGCTAACAATCACAACAGAAAACATTCTGGCCTCCTTCGCCTTTTCTGTGCCTGTGGCCCGCACATACGTACATACACATACATACACAATCAGAACTGCTCTTTGCATTTCTACTATCACACAAAAAATTCTACCCTAACATATTTTAAGAATTCTAAATCTATTTATGTCATAATTTTTTTATTACAGGCATGCTGAAGTAATCATGGTCTCGTTTAAACAGTTTTAACTATAATGTTGCTCAGTAATCCTCCACACTGTTCCATGTTGTTACGTATACAGGCTTT